ATAGCCTTTTCCCTCCCTAACTGCTTGACCGTTGATCAATGCTCCTTCCCAACCAAAAAACAAAAGATTCACATCCACAGCCCTTTCCCAATATGCCTGCATTGACTGTAACAATTTAGGATCTTTATAATCTATTCATTTGTCAAAACTAAGTTACTCGCGTAAAATTGTAAAAGGTCAGGAAATTTAAGTTGCATAATCATATTTCAAGGTTAACTAACCCTCTGATAAGACAGATAACTCAATGAATTAAATGTGCATATTTCTAACAAACTTGTCAAGTAAAAATGTCTTTTGTGACAATTGTATCCTGAAGCTATGCTAAAATCATCTGCATTTCATTTTACCTATTTATTTATTTATTTATTTAGACTTGTATTTGTAGAATTGTATTTATATTTGAACCTAAAAGGCCCTTGTGTGCCTAAAAATATCAAATAAAACCAGAAGCTTTTATTACATTGAAAGAAAACTCCCTTGATGAGATTAGTTCCTACATGTAAAATCAAACACTTTCCCAAACCTAAACAAGAAATATTCTATATAATGTGATAATAATATAAGTTTATTTGAGTTTTTGAGGTTAACTTGAGAAGGTACAAAACTTTTACTTAACACAACTCTATAAATTTATGTATCATACCCAAGGGGCTTTAGGGGGCAGGAGAGAGAGGACAATAAACGTGTTATCATTAAACCTTCACTCAATTAAAGTACAGGCTCTGTTGGAGAAGTTCATGATTATGCAAGGTGGACACAGTTTTGAAAATGACCCAATAGCCCGCACCTCCTTGATTTCCTTTATAATCTTAAAACTGAACCAATGAGCAGACACAGAATATATATCTAAGGCCAAAGTTTTTATTTTTTTATTTTTTATTTTTTTTTTTGGTTTACGATTTTCTGTCTCAAAAAAATGTATTGGGTGATCGAAAAATAAAAATAAAAATAATTTAGGATTCAACAGCTTCATTTTAAAATACCAGCAATGTTTATTCTAATAAAAATAATACACGTCAATAGTACTTTTAAGTTTTATTGTCTAGATCACATAACTCTTTTTATATAATTTTGATTCATTTCTAACTTTAGACTGAATGTCATTTTCATTTACATATAGTTTTGATTTTTTTTTCAATCAGTGCTTGGTTCATGATGTTCAACTTCTCTATGTGCTCTTCAGTGATATGTGATGTGTTATAAACCTCGGTATCCCCACAAACTAAAAATAATGGTCCAAATTTAAGTTAAATTTAGATTGAAGAAAAATACAATTTAATTGTTTAACAATATCAAAAGTAATTGACGTTGAAATAAAGGTTATAATAGTTTGATCATGCAGCTATCAAATTTAATGTTCAACCTGAAGCACAAAAGCCTAATAATTTCTCAATCAAGTCCTTCTTTAAATTTTTGTTATATACCTGCACAGTAGGCAATGCTCATTATTTACTTAGTAATTCAAAGGGCTTTGATCTCAATTAAGTATGAAATTTGCAGAGATTTGTATATTGAATTTACTTCTATAAATTAACAAATGTTTTATACACATTTGAATTTATCCAGTGAAATACCGGTCAACGTTACTTCAACTAAGATGTATCTCTCAACACTAAATTGGCCTAACTATTATCCATGGATTTATCAACCTATTTTGGGAAACACCATTTTTGGGGAATTGGGAATAAATTATCAGCTATTTGATGAAATTGGAAAAAAATTTAAAATGTTACTTAAATCCTGTATTCAGGGGTAATTCATTTAACATTTCAGCATGAACTCTAATTTGGGCAACCAAACGACAATTAAATATGATCCATCTTCATCATACAAGATCAATTATGAATAATAGACTAATAAAAGTAAATTGGACTTCAATGAGTGTAAAGCATTTATACAACATAGGGTAGTACATGTGTGTATGAGATTTGAATTTAGGTCATATAGTTTCTGTTTCTGGAGATTATAAACCTCCTGCAAAAAATTATACTAGGTACACATTTTCTAAAAGTCCTCTTTTAATGTTTATTAATGCATTGAAAATGTATTTGTCTATCTAAAATAATGCCTTAAGTCCTTACCATTAACTCGCAGATCAATTGAATAGGTGGAAATAACTTAATAAATCTATATAATTACACAACATCATCATTTTTAGAAAACGGAGGAAATTCGAATTAAAAGTTGGCGATGTTTTTACAGTGTTTTTAAACATGTTTTATGACTGTAGCTTTGCTAAATGAGTTAAATAGATGAAAATTACAGACAGTCAGACAATTTTACTTTGTGTTTTTTCAAGATAATTAAAAATTAAAGCATTGTTCACCAATTGGCAAAAAAATACTGCCAAATTGGGGAAAACTGAACTCATTTTCAATTGGGAATGGGGCCGAATTTTGGCCCCTGAGAAGGCACTGATAAATCCCTGTTATCTATAGGTGTAACTGTGTCTGCTAGGTCGATCAGGGTTGGGCATACACTCTCCCAATATTACGGTATGAATTTAGCCAATTGAGACATTGCAATTGGAGAAAGGGATCATGCATCCAAGATTTTATTCACTTTCCCATGCAGAAAAAGTTCTTCAAGTGTGTGTCATTGCTTTCAGTGAGGAATTACCCTGTTACATGACAGAACTGCCATTTTTGGTTTGCACATGTGTTTATTTACGGTCACCTAAATGTTTGTAAAGGTCTCATATATTTATAAGCGCTTATTCGACTAAGATGCATACTAAAATTTAAAACCCACCAGTTCAGCTGAGAAAAATCCGGAAAAATATTTTCATGATTGGTGAAAATTAGGGTCGGCGGAATCGTAAACCAAAAGAGAAAAACTTTTGCCTAACGTGTCCATCTTAATTAATCTGAACCCATTTGATATCCCGGCATGCAAAACAGTAGCTAGCCCTGATAGAATTTTAGTTACTTATTAAAAATATGGGGAATCCTATCTACCCTAACTGGTGAACAATTGTGTTTCAAATTGTGATGCCCTTCTATTATCGGTCTGGTGGAGGCCGAAATTGTCCTCCTTGCCAACCCCTATAGGAGAAGTGATACCCTGATAGGTGAGGATGCTGCTGGCTCAAATTTGACTGTATTGTGGATTTGGACAATGTACAATTCGACTTAGGGTGCTCATGCCCACATTTTAAATAGCCTGAATTGCTCATTGTAATGCTTCCATCCAACTGATATTTATGTCTCTAATATTAATATTAAGTCATCATTCATGCATTCATTTTTACCTACCTAGAGTTTTGCCACTACATGTGACAATAGTAAATGTGTTGTACAATTTAATACACATCTACCTCATGTTTTATTCATATACATATTATAATGCATTATTGTAATACAACATTGTAAAGCACAACAACTTGCTCTGCATGTATTTTACTTTACATGATTTTATATTACAATTAATTACTGCATTTCCATAGAAATGTGTCTTTTTCATGCCTCTCGGGGAGGGGGGGGGGGGGTTGATTGGAAATAAACTATTATGTATATATACACTTAAAATTAAATACAGCACTTCCATTTGTAAATTCAGCTAAATAACATTTGGATGCACTGCAATAGATTTACTGTATTTTAATTAATTTCAACCTGTATTTATTTACTTACTGCTTTAAAGGTACAGGGTAGCACTATCCTTGTACAATAACCTTTTTTTTGGTCACTAAATGTTTTCAAGTACTAAACTGATAAATATATATAACAAATCTATGTTACAGAAGCCACTGTGAGAATAATATGGACATTTCTCAAAATATATGGCCAAGGGACATTTAAGTATCTAAATATCCGGGATTCATAAAACTTCTTAGCATATTCTTAAGTTTAAAAAATCACTTAAGTTATATATTTTATACTTAAGTCCCTAAGTATTACTTAAATTTGGTAGAAATACTTAAGTGTAATTCATAAACATATTTAGTGCTTAAGTATTGACATAAAGTTAAGTGTCCTCAGGAGGTGTCTTAGGTAGATAAGAAATACTTAAGTTTTCTTTATCAAAATAAAAATAATGTTTTACAGAAGACATTTTAATATTTCAGTAAGAAACCATGCTATATTACATCCAACTAGAAAATTGTATGCGTTGCTAGGGTGACCTAACTTAAGTGCTTTAATTTTCTCAGAATTAAACTTAGCTAAGAATTGCACTTAGAATTCATGTGAATATGACTTAAGAATTTTTTCTTAGCTAAAAATTTATTTTATACTTAAGTGTGAAACTTAGCACAAATCTAAGTATGTTTATGAATCCCAGCCCAGATACGTTTTTGACCTTGAAGAAGGGTACTCGAATAAATTTGAAGTTTATAATAATAATAATTTTCACGCTGGCTCTCTTTTCACGATTATTCAACTAAATAACATTTTCTTTATTCAAAATCTGTTGGTGAAATTGGTTATTGCCATTGTTATCCCTTGTAACATGTGCCAGTACAACGGAAGGACGGTGTGGGAAATCGATCTGTTTCCATCCAATCAAATATTCGCCATCGAGAGATATAAATGTCAATAAAATAATTAATGCTACTTATTTTGACTGAAAATTAACTTTAAAAAACAGAAATTGTGATAGACTATTTCAAAATACAAAAATGAAATCAGATACTTTCCTCACCCACCTTTCACTTTCATTGATGCATAGAAAAGGGGAGATAATCCGGAAACATAGTGACTAAGTACCGACACTGTATGGGTGGATAACAAAATTCCGACTTTACTAAATCATCAGTTTCTCGCAAAATAAGAGGCGAATAATGACATTAATAACAGGGTAGAGCTTTGATAACGACGCATATTGTGAGATGAGCTCAAATATGCAGTATTATACATAGTACATTTATTCAGGGTATTTATATTCCCCATCTTTCTGCACGACTCACACTTCGGGTTGCTTTAATTGAAATGGATATTACATGTACAAATAGCGTAAACAAAGTTTTGTCAGAGTTTTAGAGGATATTTTATTTTTCACAGCCGACACTGAACCACTGGTATGTGAAGATAACCAGTTCAAATGTCTGAGACGATGTGTCCCGGAAAGCTGGAAATGTGATGGAGACTATGATTGTATCGACGAAGATGACAAATCAGACGAAGAAAATTGTCGTGAGTGTACTGGTTATGGAAGATTATAAATCGGTAAACTCCCTTGCTCATCCATTCATCGGATGATGACGGCAAAGTGATTTAAAACAAAAAATCAACTTACCATAACATATTTTTCAATTATATCAGTTCATACTGTTTATACATTCTAGTTAAAGTTTCAGTATTTTTATAAACAGAACTTCATTTGAAAACAGAAAATATTACTACATCCTAAGAGACTTTTTAAAATATATAATTAAAGGAAATGATAATTTTTTTTATCCTTCAGACTTGTGTCAGGGATATAAATGATTAGATATAAACCTTGATTGAATTTCTTCTCTTGTATATGTGGAAAAAATGGATTTTTATACCCCCGTATCGAAGATTCGGGGGTATATAGTTTTTGCCCTGTCTGTCTGTCTGCAAAAACATTAACATTGCTCATAACTTTTGATTGGTTGGAACTATGGCTTTCATATTTCACATGTGTATTCCTTGTGACATGACCTTTCTTTGAGTACCACCACTTTTGACCTTGACCTTGGAGTTTGACCCAGTTTTACAAAATTTTCCAAACTTTAACATTGGTCATAACTTTTGAACAGTTGGTGCTAGGGCTTTCATACATCACATGTGTAATTCTTTTACTATTTGACCTTGATGTTTGACTAACTTTTGAAAAACTTTAACCTTTTCCATATCTTTTCAATGGTTGCTGCTAGGGCTTTCAAATTTCACTGGAATATTCCTAGGGACAAGACCTTACTTTGGATACCAACATACTTAATTTGCATTTGAGAAAGTCTAATCTTCCTCTACATAAGTTGTCATACGGGGGTATCAGTGTTTCACAAACACATCTTGTTGATTGTTATTTTACATTAATTGTCTCAATTCTGGTTTGAACAATTTTAATATGAAAGGCACATGACACTATAAATTCCCCCAAAATTACCTTTTTTGTCCATGTAGTCAATTTTTCAAATCTAAGCCAAAAATAGAATTTTGATATATAAGTTGTCTTACAAAAATACTAGATACTGAAGTGATCCTATTTTACCTTGTCTCGTTGCACTCCTGACATCTCATATGTTTCTCATTAATCATTGTTTTAAAAATTATATACGCATTTACTTATTCAAAGTTTGTAGAGCAGTTGTCGTTTTGATTTTTTTTAAATCATATACATCTTCCATATATGAGTATTTGCTTATATAATATATATTTGAAAATAGATGTATATGTTTAGTGATAAAAGCTATTATGTGAATTAACTGTTAAATGTCCAAAAATGACTGTAATTTGTTATAGACATAATGATTTCAATAACAAATAGTAACAAACATTTTTTGCAATTTATTTTTAAGCTAAGAGAGATTAAGTTCATTGATAATTATAAAACAGTTTTATCGCACGCACTCCTGACTGTAGTAATATTTAAAATTAAAACCATAGAACAAAAAATCAAAAAGTTTTGTCATCAAATTGCAACGAAATTGTACAATATATGTAGTCCCAATACTTCAGAGTTAAAATGCATAAAATTGTTTAAATTTGACTTTATATCTTAAATTATTCCCTATTAATGTCACAAAACTAGCTAAAAATATATTTATTTATAAGACAAAAGTATATTTCATAGGAAATTTCACTTCATTTGATAAACACTGTAAGCAATTGATGTCAACCAAAAATATTGTACTCATCATTTTTTTCCCCCATATATTTATTCGTATTTTATCATCCATAATTCTAACATTTTTGTTGCACTCCTGACCAAGAGCACGCGGGCCTTCAAAGTAGAATTGTGAAGCATAAAATACTGTTTTTTCCAGTGAAATTGTGGTGGAATTGTTTGATTTTTCTAACAATTTTTCATTGTTTTTCTTTTTTAATTTCATAAAAAAATTAAAATAAATAAAATTAAAAAAACACATCTGGATTGATAAAATTGAAAAAGAGGCAAATTTCAATAATAAAACGGTCAATAATTTAATGCTATTCTTCAAATAGGTCGTTATTGATCAAAGAATACTTATTAGTATAAATAGAAGTTATTTCATCGTTGAACTTGGATCTTTATTTAAAAAAAAAAGTGCTGCACTTCTGGCCGTAAAAATATGGATCTGAATCACAGACAGATCCTGTAATCAATAGATTTAGTAAAATGCTATTTGTGTCTCTATTTTCCAAAAAAGAAAGCAAAGAATCATACACTGATTAAAGATTTTCCATGCTGAGGAGCAAAACATCAAATATTGCATTCCTGATGTAAATGGTATATGCACAGATACTTGACTCTCATTTATGCTGTTTGTGATTCAAACAACATTTTTAACTTTTAAATGGTATTTCAGTTACTGTTTTACACTTTGAAAATTCTTTTTTGGTTTGATTATGATACAGATTTTTAAAATCAATGTTTTTGACAACATTAGTTTTTTTCTTTTGCACTCCTGACATGATCTAACATTCTTTTCAACAGCAGCCATGACCATAACTTGATCACACAGTTACTACATTCTAAATCTAAATTTATTCACATAGCCTGCATTTTTAGTAGAGGTTGATTAATATGTGTCCTATCATTTTTAAAAAAAAATATTTTAGTCATTCAGACCAGTATGATTCGTTCTGTATTATACTGTTAGTAAGAGTCACTTTTTGGTACCTCGAAAATCCTCGTAGACAAAGGTTTTTAGTTTAAGAAGGTCATCGGAGCACTTTTTTGGTTCGTTTATGTTTCCCATTTGCTGCAATTTCAAAATGCTGTAAAATTGTTAATTATCTTAAGCCAAAGGATTTCCAGTTAAACAAGCAACATAATAATCTGTTATTTAACTTTTTAGATTAAAATTGAAATTTTAAGTGTTGGATCAGAAATTACTTTGAATTATATGAAAGTATTCAAAATCTATTTTTAGACTATTGATAAAATTATAGAGTTGTCTTTCTTTACTATTTGGTATTTCTTTAAAAAATACATGTATTGAAATGGTGAGAATTCATCATAAGCTGTCATGTAATGTACAAAACAAACTTTGCTTTGCTAGGAAATATATAACCATTGAAATCGCATATGATTTATTGTTTGACAAGCATGATTGTTAGTGCGTTCGAACATATGCATGATCACAATGCCCAAAGTTATTTCCCTTTGCGTGGTCAATCTAGGGTAAATCGGCGTACCTACTGTTTTCCCTCTATAACATCACGAACTTGGCATACAAATTAAATATGTATATATACTAGTATGTTGATTATGTTTTTCTGTGTTGCACCAACTATGGCAATACAGGAACTGTTCAAAGTTGTCTGGAAGCGTTTGAAGGTGAAAAATATTTACAGGTAAGTTACAACGGATATAGAGAGAAAAATAACCGTTACGCCGACAAAGAGTGATACCTCTTATGAATGTGAAAGTCGTCTATATGATTTCTGGTTGGCACAAAGACAACAGTGCATAGTAACAAATATATATATTCTAGGTAAAAAGACGAACTTGATTACCTTAATTGCTGTCAGAGGTTCCTGCATGGTATTATCCTAGACTTCCACTTAAGTTCTTCAACTTTCTTCGTTAACATCCAAAACTTCTAATCGAAGAGTCGTAGAAACATGAAAGCATGGATGTGAAGGAACTTTGATCATGGAAGTAAATCAGAGATCTTGCAGAAACTTTCTGCAACATTTGATTGTCATTGTTCCGGGTACATCTAGAAATTATGACCTTTAACGTCAAGAACAACAACTTCGGTAACCGTTAAATTTCTGAACATGATTTTTTTTTTTTTTTTTTGATAAACAGATTAAGGAAAATAAACCTTTTTCAGGGAATTTCTTCAGATGTTATTTGTGACATTTATTTCCTTTAATTTTGCTGTCATGCATTCTTCTTTTTTGCATGTGAAATTTATTTCAATTTTATTTAGAACTAAATAATCTTGAAAAATAAATTTCGATTCAAGTCCAAAAAATATTTCTGAATCTAAAGAATCCATAGTTTGCAAGTCCTTTTAAGACACCGAAAATACCGTCTACCCTACATATTACACTTTACCCTGAGTAGAGGGTAAATATGGCCTCTATACACCCTTCCTATATGCATTTAAAGGCAAATAAATATCTTTCCAGACCCTCTCCATTCCATCTGTGCCCTAAAATCAACCTTTTCACCCCGTATACATCCCCAAAATCTTTTAAAAAAAATCCTCTATTTTTAAAAATGGCACTAAGGGGTAAAATTAGTAACTGATATATGGGTAAAATTAATATATTTTGAAACACTTTTGCTTTCTGACATCAAATCAAGGGTCTAAAAGTAAATTAGAAATCGTAGTTTCAAACATTTAAATTCTTTTTTTTTTTTTTACTTTATTCGTTTATTTCCTATTAAATATTTTATTTTAAATGCATTATTATTATTGATTACATAGGATATTCAAATACTCCCCCCCCTCCCACCAATATCCCCGGAAAAAAATTGAAAGGCCTCTAATTGTTCCCTGAAGAATGAAGTTCATAGTTTAATTTTTAATCTTAAAAACTTTAGGATCCTTTCCTCAAAGTTTCTGACATTGATTGCCTTGCATTACTCTTCTTTGATTGACTTCAATCCATATCTACCCTGGAGAAAATCCACGGAATTTCTTACCATGATATGGAGTCAAAATTATGAATTTTTCAGCGTTAGTTCCACTAGATCTCAGTATAAAATGTTTCAATCCGCAGATAATAACTGGCTGTTTAAGTATGTTTAATATAATTTCATCCTCGAAACCTTATATAAGCGCTTGATTATTTTATGATTTGGGGGGGGGGGGTTAGGAAAAAAAAAAAGGAAAGAATTGTTTTGGTTGCAAATAAGATCATATCTGAGCTTCAAATTTGCTGTTAGTGAATGAATAACATAGAAATCTAATAAAAATGTCAAGACGTCATTTTAGTTTTTTAATAAACAAATATTTATGGATATGAAACACATAATTTGTTGATAGTTTATGAATATTCAAGAA